CACCACCCAAGCAAGTGCCCAGCGCACGGCTCCACCTGCAACAAATGCGGGAAGGCGAATCACTGGGCAAACGTATGCCGTTCGCAGGGGAGAGACGAGGCACATGGAAGGGGCCAGCAACGCGGACGCTGGCGCCAGAGGAGCCCCAGCCCACGGAGACGCTTCGACGCACTGCATTTCGACGCCGTCATCATCGACAGCGTCGAGCGTCACCAACCGCCACTAGAGCGAGAGGTGTTCGCGACCCTCAATGTCAGCCTGGACAACACCAACAGACCGGCCACCTTGAGAGCCAAGGTGGATACGGGCGCTCAGGGCAATATATTGCCGCTGAGAGTGTTCTGCCAAATGTTCCCCCAGCACGTCGGACCAAATGGATACCCAAAGCCGAAGTCCGTGAAGCCGTCAAGTACCACCCTCACAGCGTACGGCGGATCCAAGATAAAGCAATGCGGAACCCGTCCTATTCCGTGCTCTTACGATGGCAAGAGTCAACTCGCTGACTTCTACATCACGGACTGCCCTGGCACTGCTATCATCGGTCTCCCGACAGCGACAGCCCTGCAGTTAGTCACGCTGAACTGCGCTGTCCAGGAGAAGCCAGCGAGCATCCGAGACAAGGACCACCTGATGAAGCCATACCCGAAGTGCTTCGATGGCATTGGGAAATTCCCAGGCAAGTACCACATCACGGTGGACCCCAACGTCGTCCCGGTTGTACACCCTCCACGCCACCTCCACGCCATCGCACTGAGAGACGAGATCAAGACGGAGCTGGAGGACATGATCCAGAACGGCATCATCACCAAGATCCAGGAAGGCGAACCAACAGCGTGGGTGAACAGCCTCGTGTTCCGCCTCAAAGACAATGGCAAGCTACGCCTGTGCCTAGACCCCAAGGACCTCAATCACGCCATCCTGCGAGAGCACCACGTGGTCTCCACCATTGAGGAGATCACCCCGAAGTTGAGAGGTGCCAAAGTGTTCTCGATCGTCGACGTCAAATGTGGGTACTGGAATGTGGAGCTCGACGACGAATCCAGTTACCTCACCACCTTCAACACACCATTCGGGCGCTACAGATTCCTTCGCATGCCATTCGGCCTCAAGATGTCGCAAGATGTCTTCCAAGCAAGGATCGACCAGACGTTCGAAGGGTGCTTAGGCGTCACCGGAATCGCAGACGACATCGTCACATACGGGACGTCAGACGAGGACCATGATCTCAACATGCACCAGATGATGGTTCGCTGCGAACAATCTGGTCTCAAGTTGAACCCAGACAAATGCCGCATCAAAGAGGACAAGATCAAGTTCTTCGGCATCATCTGCAGCGCTGACGGAATACAGCCCGACCCGAAGAAGGTCTCAGCGCTGAAGCAGATGGAGCACCCCGAGAACGAGGACGAGCTCCAGACGTTCCTCGGGCTAGTCACGTACATGAGCCCGTTCATACCGAATGCCAGTACACTGACCGCGCACCTGCGTGAGCTGACCAAGCCAGATACACCGTTCGCCTGGACAGACAGCCACCAGCGCACCTTCGACAAGGTCAAGGCCGCCATTTCGACAGAAGTAACGCTCAGTTACTTTAACCCAGGCAAGGCAACGACACTACAAGTCGACGCTTCCATGAAAGGTCTCGGCGCCACTCTGCTGCAGGACGACAAGCCTGTTGCATTCGCCAGCAAGAAGCTTACCGAGACGGAGTCTCGCTACGCCAATATTGAGCGTGAGCTCTTAGCCGTCGTATCGGATGTGAAAGATTCCACACCTACCTATTCGGTCAGTCATTCACAGTAGAATCCGACCACAAGCCGCTGGAGTCAATCAAGCTCAAGCACCTCCGCGCAGCCCCGCCGCGTCTACAGCGCATGCTGCTGAAGCTGCAGCCGTACGGCATGACCATCAAGTACCGCCCCGGAAAGGACATTCCGATCGCAGATGCGCTATCCCGACTGTCGCCAGAGGAAACAGAGCCAATTGAGGACCTCGACGTCAGTGTACACGCCGTGTTCCCGCAATTCAGCGATGCAGCGATGACGAGGATCCGCGAGGAGTCGGCTAAAGACGCCGAGATGTCAGCACTGAAGGAGATGATCTTCAGTGGCTGGCCATCAGAGAGGAGCGCGGTGCCGGCAATTCTGCTCCCGTACTGGAATTTCCGCGGCGAGATGAGCACCGAGGACGGTCTCATCCTGAAGAGCAGTCGCGTCCTGATTCCCCCGCCAATGAGGGGGGAAATCCTCAGCAAGCTGCACGCCAGCCACCAAGGCATAGAGAAGACCAAGCTGCGAGCCAGAACGTCCGTCTTCTGGAAGGACATCAACAAGGATATCGAAGCAACTGTCTCATCTTGCACGACGTGCCAGCGCCACCAGAGCAGTCAAGCCAAGGAACCACTGGTGCAGCCCGATATTCCGCCAAGGGCATGGCACACCTTAGGCACGGACCTGTTCTACCTCGGCGGGTCAGAACACCTCATTGCCGCCGACTACTACTCCAAGTACTTCATCACCCGGAAGCTGCCTGCCGGACAAGCGACCAGCAGGGCCATCATCCAGCACCTCAAGGAGATTTTCGGTGAGCACGGCATCCCAGCCGTGCTGAAGTCGGACAATGGGCCGCAATACAGCAGCCATCTGTTCGCGGAGTTTGCTGCCGAATATGGATTCCGCCACAGTACGTCGTCGCCACATCACCCGCAGAGTAACGGGTTTATCGAATCGCAAGTTAAGATCGCTAAGAGAGCTCTCGAGAAGGCAAGGGAGAGCGGGACCGACCCGCACTTAGCACTGCTGTGCATTCGCGCCACCCCAGTGTGCCAGGGCTTACCGTCGCCGGCCGAGATGCTGTTCGGTCGTCAGGTACAGGACAACCTGCCTCGCAAACACCAGCGCGACACTCGGGACGAGGCCATCCGACAGAAGCTCGAGGAACGGCAGGACCAGCAGAAAGTACACCATGACCAGCGAGCGCAGTCTCTCCGCCCCCTAGTTCCTGGTCAGCACGTCGGCATCCGCAGCCCGACCACGCACCTGTGGGAACCTGGTATCGTAACCCAGTCTGTCAACGGGCCACGGTCATACATGGTGCAGCCTGACCATGGGACAGAAGTGCGGCGCAACCGTACCCACCTCAGAGAGAGGCGGGTCCACTTCCCGCCGGATGCCAGTCTCGCAGGCCCTCAGCCGTCGACGCGCAGCGACATTGGCGAGCCTCAGCCGCCGAGTGACGTGCCGTCGCCGTGGAGCGACGCTAGCCAGTCTCAGCCGCCGTCACCGTGTGACGTCAGCCAGCCTGCTGAACCTGCCACCCAGCTGTATCGAACACGGTCTGGCCGCGCAGTCGCACCCAGGTCAATCCTGGATGTGTAAGGCCAGAGAGGCCTCATGGACCTGTTCGCTTATGTCACAGTAGCTGAGGTGCCATTGTTATATTGTACATAGAGCTATTGTTGGATACTATGTCTCTGTATTGTTAGTACGCCGTCGTGTGCCATTCATGATTGTTATCTTGTACATAGAGCTATTGTTGGATGTTATGTTCTATATTGTGAACACGCCGTCATATACGTACGGTATGTTATGTAGGTTGTTAAACTCCTTTATGACGAAGGGGATGTTGTATTATGATGTAATGCATTACGTAGCCATGCAAGAGCATGCGCGAGATACGCATCTCGCAGCTGCCTACTTTCATGCAGGATCCCTTAGATGTCGTTGTTCTTATGATTGCCTACAATGGCCAAGTGAGAATATAATCCTGTCGTAAACAACTAACTTGTTTACCCCGAAACACTCCCTACACACACACACTCGCACACACGTAATTTGAGCCTCCACTTTCCCGATGATTTGCACATGTATTACTAGTACGTAACGTTTTTTAAATGTCCTATGGCAGACATGCACATCAGCTAAGTGAAGTTCCCATCGCTGTCGTCGCCACTTCCACAGATTGGCAAACCCTAGCGCGCAAGAAACTTCAGGCTGGGTAAGATTTTCAACAAGCACTGCAGATTGTCAGCTTTCTGACGGGCAAGCAAACTAGTTCGGAGTTTATCATCTCAGCTACATCCAGGCTGCTTTTCGGGGCTAAAGCGGCTAGCACAGCATCGACGTGGACAGTAGACAGCATGCTTCGGGTTTTCTGAGTGAAATATTGGCATCTTTCCAGGTACAGAATCCGTTGGTGACAGAAACTGGATCCCCATGCTTGGAAAGGACTTGATTGCTCCTGGCAGCCACCGTGCAGGTGGAACAAAACACCGTGTCCTCAGAATCCTTGTGCGAAAGCCAAGGCCATGTCGTGAAGTATGCCCCCTGGCAAGAGCATTTGACTATTTTCGTTTCCCCAAATTTACTCGTAAAAGAAGAAGGACCGCGTGTGGGACGAGCGAATGGGACTGTGCAGGTACCAAAAAAAAACACAAACAAAAGTTTGTTGTAGTCACACAAGTTGGTCCGGTCATGGCCGGACCAGCCGGAAGGGCTGCGCCGCTCCAGAAGCATACTGCCATACTGCAAGTCTCCCCTAATCCAGGCACGTCCCTAATCCGGGCACGTCCCTAATCCGGGCACGTCCCTAATCCGGGCACGTCCCTAATCCGGGCACGACCGTCTACCGGGCACCTTTCTGACCCATCTAGAGTCACAAAAAATCACCTTTTCAGTGAAAAGAGGCCCTAATAACTTGTGATTGGCATAGAATGTGTCTACTTGCATGCGATAAATATGTATGTTCTGAGTTACTGGCAATTCCTGGTTACGGGCAGACGGTGCTCGGTCCCAACCTGCCCAGATAAGGGGAAACAAACTGTACTTCATGCAACGGTGAGTTGGAAGAGAGGGGAAGATCACGAGACAATCATTAGCAAAGAGAGCAACTTCAGATGATATGTATTTGATTCTCGTGTTTTTGGCCTCTGTTCATTGTGCAATGCTAAGTCCCCGCTAACCTTTGGTTTGCTCTTGTTCTCGTTGTTTATTGATCCCAAGGTAAGCATGGAGAGTTTGATCCAGCTGGAGGCAGTGGAGAAAGACCTTGCCAAGCTGAAGGTGAGCTAGTGTCAGAAAGGCGTTGTTGCATTTGTTCGTGCCAGTGCTGGCTCAGTATAGAGGGGATTTAATAGTCATGTGATAGTACACACTCAGTAGTAGCACAAGCTTCAGGTTCTTCAGCAACATTCTGAAATGTTTTTCACGAGTAAACTTCCGTGCCTTCTCTTCCTGGTGATATACAGGCAAGGGGAAACATTTCAGAATGTTGTTAAAGAACCTTAACTCCTAAAATTTGTGTTACTGCTAAGTGACCTTACCTATATGGCAAAATGACCGTCGTGTGAAACTGCCGCTTGTTACTGCTGCTTATTTTTCCATCTAAATTTTCTTGGTTGAAGTACTGTTCTGCAGTACTGAGGCGTTCGGTTCTTCACGATTCTTGTTCGCTTAGCTTCATTCCAATCGATCTTCCAAATTTAACCCTTTGTGTACCAGCCCCATCTCCAACCGTACCATATGGTACGGTTCGCTGCACTCCAATCAAGCGCGCCGTTCCCCGCCGCCGTAGCTCCGATCGACCCGCGGTTTTTTGCGCTTGACAGCTGAGATCCCACTGAAAATTTTGATGTATGATATGGGTAGGTTACCATTTGAAAGTATGGAGAACGTACGCGTTCAAAAGTATGCTTTTCAGCGCAAACAATTGTCGCTGTTTCGATCGTGTTCTCGCTCAGTTTCTCTGCTTGTAGCGAAGATGTAGCTTGTTCTAGGTCATGTCGACGTCTTCTAGACGTGGTGGACGATTGGAGAGATCGGCTGTGGCGATATCATCGCGGAATGCGACTCGAAATTGAAAATTTGTATCGCTGATCCCATCGTAGTATTCGCTCTCAAAACAGGAGCGAGAGGGAGGGTAGCGATGGCCTAAAATCGTCAAGGCAGGCATAATTCACCAGCCAGCGACTGCTTCTTGTCTTCTCTTTCACTTACATGACGCTGGATGTGAGTAGATGAAGAAAAATATAGATTTCGAATCTGAGACAAGAATTCAAAATTTGCAATTTTGAACCAATTGTTTTACCTCAAATGTGTGAAAATATGACCATTTCCCTGGTATGTTGTTACTCTTCATGCACTGAGACAACGCTTCTGAGGTTGTTTTGTCCCTATGTTCCCAGTACACGAGCACAAACTAATTCTCAGTCTATTTGTTTGTGATACCCTGGTTGGTCAGAAATATGCACAATTGGCGCGTATCTTTGGTATTCCACCTATGGCCTTCATATACTACTGCATGCTGTACCAATATCCATGCTTACCTGGGTGCAGTAATACATAATTATGGAGTCAGGAAAACACAACTTGCATATACAAAAGTTGTCTAGATTTGATACCATGGTTGCTTCTTTGGCTGCGATAGCCCTTTACATACATTAGATGGCTGGTACATAAAGGGTTAAGAGCCACACAAATTGTGTGGTATGTTACTATGTGTCCTTGAATCGTGGTTTGACCGTTTTGTCTTATGGTCTTACCAGTATCGTCCTTGACATACATGTACATCCGCCAACGTCCTTCACAGCTGAGACTTTCAGCTCGTGCTCGTCTTGGTTGCGCTCACCTTCCCCTCCTTATGTTATTTCTATAACTTAGAACCTTCCAAGTTGGAAGGCTGTTGGAGTGCACATCCGAGATGTGCTAGAGCTAATTGCCAGTTAGGTGTAGAACGTCAGCACCGTTGGTCAGTGTCGTGCAATGAATGTTATCGCTTGAGCTGATTGTAAAGTAACTGGTGGTGTTAGTGGATATTATAGCGTAACTTGTAGCTCTTTGGTCCTCTTTCTTCTCATATACTAAGTGTTATAGCTTTTTTGTCTCCAAGGACATTTTTTACATAATTGATAGTACAGTTGCTAAGTACACGCTTCACCCATATGTAGAAGACAAGCTGGCTTCATCATTCATAGTTGGCAAGATTTAGTTGCGGCTGGCTGGTGGTGAAAACCTACGGATAAAAAAAGTGCTGTCACATGACGATGGGGGGGGATCTGTGTGGCCTGGATCCACCAGCGTAACCCTCCTGTAACACAATTAAACTCAACACTCTTTGCTCACTTGTATCATTATCACTCATGATGTCCCGAGCTCCGAGCCCATAGACTTTGCAACCGCTGCACTTGTGTGGATGCGGGTGTATATGTGTGCATTCGTGGATGCTTGTGTTAGTATGTGCCCATGCGTGTCAACATGCAAATGCACGTGCGTGTATGCGTCTCTGTATTTTGTCCCATGCTTTGCTTTCAGGACCTGTCCGGCAGAGATCAAAACGTGACATCAGCCACCAACTGCACACCGCACTCCACGAAGTAAGCGTGCCTCTGCGTACAATGCAATGTTCTTTGTTTCATCTCGGCTCACTGGCAGTAGTAGTAGTATTTATTATTTTACTAGGGCAATCCCCAGGCCACAGACTGTAAGTCACCATCTTCCGACTCATTAATGGTTCCGTAATCTTCTACACCATCGATGACGATTTTGGGCAAGTGCTGCTGCCTTCCCCTGACGTCCAATACAAGGCCGGTCACCCTACACAGGTATTTAGCCGCTGTGAGGGGCGTCATATCGGCACGTCTCGGGCGACGTATTTGAGGATAGTAGCTGGTAGAATGAGGTGGTGCACACCGGCCGACAACTGGCCATACAGGTGTTGTAACTACCTTTTCTCCACCTGCTCCCAGCCCCGTGTCACCTCCACACTTATACAATGGGACGACTATTGTTTAGAAGAGTATCTCTTTGTCGTTGTTACTATAATCGAGTGGCACATTCGCACTACAATTCTACGAGTGCTAGTTTGAAAATACGTTACGAATTTGAGCAATTGTTACGTTGTACAGCAGGTACGAACAATTAATATTTACATACTCACCGGTTTTCGTTTCGGAGTCCCGCGCTGTGACTCAGCTAATTTCTATTTCGTTTGACTTGTATTGTCTGACTAGGGGCGCTGTCACCCCGTCGGGTGCAAGCACCCTTGGACAGAAGCACTTCACTTCACGACAAGTGTTCATTTTCGTTTTCCTCTTCTGCTTCTGTTGCACAGTTTGAACTAACTTTGAATGTGTGCTTTTTTCGTACTCTGCTCTCGATACGTCGGGTGCAAGCACCCTTGGACAGAAGCACTTCACTTCACGACAAGTGTTCATTTTCGTTTTCCTCTTCTGCTTCTGTTGCACAGTTTGAACTAACTTTGAATGTGTGCTTTTTTCGTACTCTGCTCTCGATTGAACCATGCGCGGATCGATCTCCAGCTCCATGCATAATAATATTTATCTCCCGTTGCCATGACTGGCATTAGTACAGCGTTGCGTACTCACTCGCTGCTTGGCACGCTTGCAGCGCGTCTTTCTTCTGTTGCAACCCAGTGCCTGCGTGCACGGTACGGGATTTGCGATGCCACATCAGCGTTGGTGTGTCGTTGTGCTTCGTTGGTGTTTTTGTTCTTTGCTGAGTGTGGTCGTTAAAACTTCTGAGAAAGAACGGGTCGTTGACAAGGCGTGGTTTCGATGTGCATGCCCTTCTGTCAACTCCAAACTATTGGTAGCAGAGGATGATTTTCACGGAGCCATCATGGAGGTAAAACTAGAAGACCTCGCACGGAAAAAGCGAGAGCTGAAAACGGATTTCACAAATACGAGGAGAAATTTGACAGTGGAGTCAACGAATGAGGTGCCGAACCAAGATGACGTAAAGGCATGGAGAAGCCACTTGACGACAGTGTATGACGAGACCAAGAAGGTCATCATGGAGTACATGGAAGCGGTGGTGGACACTGACTCTAGGAGACATGCTGGTCTCCAGAAGCAGTACAAGCAGCTGGAAGGCCAGTATTCAGATGCCATGGAATTGGCCAGGAGTGTGCTCATCAGGAGCAGCAGAGCGAGCCTGGCAGCGTCGACCACGCAGACTCCCAGTCCCAAGCAATCGCCACTGAGAGGGGCAACGCCGTTACTGGCGTCAGTGCGCGAGGAAAGCAGAGAAATTCTAGATCTGCGTGCGGCGCTCCAAGATGCACCGTTTCTTGGTCGTCAGGACGGTACGCGGGTTATGTTGCCCAGGGCTGCAGACTATGGAGAACGGGTCAAAGTAGAGCCGGACAGTCGTGTTGTAATGTTCAGTGGTCAGCGTGTGGGGGAACCTGCCGAACCATTCCCGACCGTTGCCATGGCAACCGCGTCAGCACACGCGCCACCGCAAACGGATATGATCAACAGCAATGCATGCACCGCTTTATCTGCAGCAGCCGCAGAGTACCAGCCACGTAGTTCAGTGCTGCCAGCGTCATTTGCAACTATGACCACGGGCAGCAACGCTCCTGCTATAAATCAGGAACAAGGCTTCCTGATCCACGATCCTGCTGATCAAACACCTAGTATGATGTATGCAACGTATGGCAACAATAGTGCTAGGCCGCAGCAGGCATACATGTACCAACAACAGCAACCGCAGTGGAGTGCGAGCAATAGTGCAGTCGTGTACAACTCACCTGTGTCTACTGGACCGTCGCACACCATCTCTGCCGGAGCGTCACAGTACGATGCGAGACCCAGTGCTGGCATGCAAGCACCCCGGACAGCAGTATTCGCCCCAGTTCCGACATATGTCGGAGGCACCGCAGCTCGACCTGCGCCACGGACTGCTCCAGCGGCAGCTGCACAGATCAACATCGCCAGCAAGTTGAAGCGGATCGAAATTGCCGTGTTCACCGGAGAGAAGCGAAAATACGAGCGCTGGAAATCCGCTTTCAGCGTTTGTGTGGACCAGCAGCCGCTCTCCGCTGAATTCAAGCTGCTGCAGCTCCGACAGTACGTGGCGGGTGAGGCACTGGATGCCATCGAGAGTCTCGGCTACTCGGCAGCAGCATACGATGCTGCTCTGCGGCGGCTGGAGCGACGCTTCGGTGGGAGTCGCCGGCGCCTTGCGGTTAGGATGGAAGAGCTGGAACGATCTCCACCTATTCGATCCGGTAGAGCCCAGGACCTGGAGCGCTTTACCGATGTGCTCGACATGGCAGTGGTGACGTTAAAGGATGCCGGTATGCACACCGAGCTAGGTACCGGCATTCTCTACCAGCGGATCCAGCAGAAGCTGCCGGTGAACTTGTTGGCCCAGTATCGCCGCTGGATAGTACACCACCAAAAGGACGAATCGGTCGAGGTGCTGCTGGAGTGGCTGAATGCCGAGGCAGAAGTTCTTGCTGCCGCCACGGAAACTATCGAAGGCATCAGCCAGCAGCATCACGTCAGAAGCCAAATGTCAACCAGCGGGACAAGTCGAAATCAGCCGACTCGGACGGCAACTGCTCACGACGCTGTGCAACCGCGCACGACCACGTTCGTGACAGCTACAAACACCGCTGGCAACGTGCCGACCGCAAGGTCCACATGCCAATGCTGCAATGGCGGCGGGCACCCGATCTGGCGTTGCCCAGAGTTTGAGAAACAAACTGTAAGCCAGCGCTGGGCAGCAGCGAAGCGAAGCAAGTCATGCTATAGATGCCTTGCGACTGGACATAGCGGCAAGGATTGCCCACGGGACCGGGAGTGCGGTATCGACGGGTGCACGCAGCATCACCATCGCCTGCTGCACAGTGAGCCCCGTCAACCGCCTCCAGCGTCGTCAACCCACGCCTCCGGAGAGACTGGAGCCATGCAGCCGGAGAACTTCAGTGCTGTCTCCCTCGGAAACAGCACGAAGGGAGAGGAGAATAGAGTACGGACGGTGACGTCGATTCGGACAGTTCCCGTTCAGCTATCCAATGGCAAGCGGTCGCTAACTGTTAACGCGCTGCTGGACGACGCCAGCACGCGCTCGTACATAGCGAGCAATGTTACGGCAGAACTCGGCCTGGTTGGATCAAGTATGTCGCTGACCATCAGCAAGCTGAATGGACAGCAAGAGACCATTCACACTGTCCCAGTATCGTGCACTCTGCGAAGTGTTGACGGAGCCACGTCGACGACTCTCCATGCGTGCACAATCGAGCAGCCAACAGGCAACATGGAAGTTGTAGACTGGCACCACCTGGGAAAGCAGTACGCACATCTAACCAACGTTGAGTTTCCGCCGCTACCGTCGAAACGCCACATTGACGTGCTTATCGGTGCCGACTATCCGGAGCTTCACATGGCGTATGAAGAGCGCTCGGGTAACAGCCATGAGCCCGTGGCGCGTCGGACGGCATTAGGTTGGACCTGCATCGGCCCAGTCAACCAACCAAAGGACGAGTCCATCGAGCTGACTGCGGTGACCGTCGACCAATGCCACAGCGAGCTGAATCGTCTAGAGCCAAGCCGCTACTCCGACTGGGTACGAATGTGCCGTGTTCATGCTTGGTGTGTGCGATTCGCTACGAATTGCTCAGTACCACCCGCACAGCGAGAGTTTGATGAATTATCGCCACAAGCGATCCGAGACTCTGAGGAGTTCTACATCAAGCGAGCGCAGCAACAGTCGCTACCAGAGTATGCTGCAGTTAAGGCAGGCAAGCCGATCCCTGCAAACAGCAAGCTAGTCTCGCTCAAGCCGATGATTGACGACGCCGGCCTGCTACGCGTCGGAGGTCGACTACAGCATGCAGACTTCTTGACTGCAGAACATTGCAATCCGATCGTCCTACCACGAGGAGATCATGTGACACAGCTGATTGTCAAGGCATGTCATGAACGAGGATATCACACGTTCGGTGTCAGCCATACGCTAGCCGAACTCTCGTCGCGCTACTGGATCGTCGCTGGCCGCGAAGAGGTGAGAGCTTGGGAAGCCAAGTGTGCGAGGTGCGCCCGGAACCGTACGAAGCCGGCAATGCAGGTGATGGCGCCACTACCTAAGGTCCGAGTCAGCCTGCCGCTACGCGCATTCGGCCGAGTCTCTGTAGACTACGCTGGACCGTTTATGACGAAGCAGGGTCGCGGCAAGACACAACACAAGCGGTACCTGTGCTTGTTCACCTGCTTGCAGACGAGAGCAGTGCATCTCGAGCTGTCATACGCGTTGACAACAGACTCGTTCCTGCAGGCGTACGTACGCTTCACCAATCGACGGGGAGTACCGATCGACGTCATCTCCGACAATGGCACGAATTTCGTCGGCGCCACCAACGAGCTTGCTCAGCTAGTCAAGCAGCTTGATGCAGAGGCGATTCAGCGGCAGACAGCGGATCAGCAGACTAGCTGGCGTTTCAACCCTCCAGCAGCACCACATTTCGGCGGAGTGCATGAGGCATTAGTAAAATCGGCAAAGCGTGCTATCTCGGCGATTCTGAAGAACGCGGAGGTCACAGACGAGGAGCTATTGTCTGCTATCGTCGGCGCGGAGGCGCTCATGAACTCACGGCCACTGTCCTACGTGTCGGCAGATGGTCGTGACCCGACTCCGCTAACGCCCAATCATTTCATGTATGGCCAAATCGGTACTCGGTTCGCACCTGCAGGAGTGGACGAGAGCGAGTTCAACCCTCGGCAACGCTGGCGTGTAGTGCAAGACCTCGTGCTGCACTTTTGGCGGAGATGGATGCAGGAAGTCGTGCCAGAGCTGAACCGGTGACTCAAGTGGAGGACGGCCGAGACAGACCTCAAGGTCGACGACATCGTTCTAGTGACATCCCAAGACAACCCACGGGGCACTTGGCCAATGGGTCGCGTCACCGAAGTCCACCCTGGTCCAGACGGACACGTGCGAGTTGTGAAGGTCAAGGTGGGCGACAAGACCTACACCCGCCCAATCGTGCGTCTTTGTAAGCTGTTCTGTGAGTAGCTCCTTGTTTGCCTATTTCAGAACAATAATCAATTTCGAATTTTTTGGTCACTGTGAATTTCGGCACAGTGAGAAGGGAGAGAAATGTTTAGAAGAGGATCTCTTTGTCGTTGTTACTATAATCGAGTGGCACATTCGCACTACAATTCTACGAGTGCTAGTTTGAAAATACGTTACGAATTTGAGCAATTGTTACGTTGTACAGCAGGTACGAACAATTAATATTTACATACTCACCGGTTTTCGTTTCGGAGTCCCGCGCTGTGACTCAGCTAATTTCTATTTCGTTTGACTTGTATTGTCTGACTAGGGGCGCTGTCACCCCGTCGGGTGCAAGCACCCTTGGACAGAAGCACTTCACTTCACGACAAGTGTTCATTTTCGTTTTCCTCTTCTGCTTCTGTTGCACAGTTTGAACTAACTTTGAATGTGT